GACGCAGGACTTGTGCAAATACGCAATAGGATTTTAGACATGCACTGTAAAACAACGCCATATTAAATCTTAAAAATTGCGGTGTTATGAAGTCCATATGGTTTTGTTTTGATCCATTGAGAACAGAAGTGTATCTATCAGCGAGCCATCTGTTTGGACTAGGTTATTTTTGTTGATTTTATGTCATAAGCTAGCAATGCATATACGAGTGATGAAAGGACTTGCTAATTGTTAAGAATCGATTTTTCTTTGATCTCTAGTGAAATGGATCTTTGCAATCAGCTAGACAGACGCGGAGCGATTTACTTTCATCGAGTTAAAAATCGAAAACCTACTTCAGTGGACGCATACTTTCAGATATTCCGTGCTGTAGTCTTGTTTAAGTTTATTAGACACAGCTCAGTACTCGTAGTTAAACCGCTACTAAAGAAGAGGGTATTGTAAGTGTACAAAAAATAAACATGCCTATGTTGATAGCAGTGAATACCAGGAAATCTTAAACCTATCTATAGTGTTTTACTGACAATATAAATTGCGAATATACAGTATAATTAAAAATATATTTTTTTTTAAATAGCCGCAAACGTAATTTTTTGTAAGTTAAAATTATTATACGTGATTTCTTAATTAGAAATTTTATAATGACAAAACTAAAAGGTATTCTATGATTAAATTTTGCTCGCGTCAAAATATCCTCATTAGATTTGTTTACTGCATCACAAATTTTGGGCATTCGTTTAAACATTTCTTAAAATTTAACTTTGATAAATTATTCCATTCATTTTTTTGAAATGGTATATTACATAATAGGTTAGTGATGGGTTTGTATATATTGATACGTAACGTAAGTGTAGTCATATAAAATATTCCGAATAATGTAAATAATGTACATAATACCTCATCTCAGAAATATAGACACTCTAATTTGCTTGATTAAATTATTGAAACGAAACCTAATATAACAGTGAGAGTCATGGAGTTGTTTGGTTTCGTATATAAACTCTCAACATCTGCTAAGCGAATATCTGGCCCTTTTTTTTTACTAAAGGTACACCAAATACAAGGCCTAAATGTCACTTCAGTTAAATTTTTACGTCATGTAGTAATATAGGCGTAAGGGATGAAGTAAGTGTTGATTATAGTTGATATGTAGGATAGAAAATTGCTTACCCTAGACGTGAACATCGTAAGATTATAATGATCGCGGTAGCATTAACTAGAATGTATGTACCGTTAAGTAGACGTTGTCGTGTACAATATGTCTTAATGTAAAAACCACATTACCTATGGAATACAATGAGAATGAAAATGAATTGAACCTGTGTTCGTGGCATGAGTGGCCTACCTACAAACGTCTGGACTATTCAAACACGTCTGAAATTGTTTCTTGAAGAATAAGCTAACCTTCCTCTTATAGCTAATGTTTAGTCCTAACGTCTGTTTAGATGGAATGCAACCCTTCTCTTTTGAAAATTAAGTAGCAATGACCGACCGAGTCCTGAACAACGATATTCAAGGTAGATTATATTGGTAGGCATTTAAGCGATTTTTTTTCAATTTGTATTAGGCATGCTTTATTCTTTAACTTGTGTAGAATTTGCGTAATATATAATCATTCATATATAATCATTCGGATTAGCTGGGAGAGCAATCTTCAAATATATTTTTAAGTTAATATAAACATACAAACATTTAAAATCTGATAGGACTATTTTTAAGGAAAGGAATATTTGCCAAATATGGGCAGAATATTCAGTTTTCATTTTGAATTATCTATATAATCCAAAATAGTGTATGCTTTCTCGTGAGTGACAAATTATTTTCAAATGTAGAATTACTTTCTCATAGACGAAATTTCGAAAATTACTCGCTGCACTTATTTGAAGATAATTAGCGAATTTAAAGTTAAATTAATCCGAACTGAAAGAAATAGTAAAACGTACAGCACTAAATGATGTATACAAGCACTTTGTAACCACGTTGTCTTGTTTTCTAACGTGCTGATATATTTATAGATAGCCGAACGTGTTGAAAATTATGTATCTTAACGCAGCATTAATTATAGAAGACGGTAAATAATATGTGTGAATTTTTTGATAAGGTAGGACAACGCTTAAAACACGTGACTATTTAATTATATATAGCAAATTTCACTTTTTTTTAAAATTAGGACGATTAAAGAAAAAAATATTCGAACTTCTTTTAAAAAATATTCGTGATCATCAGATTGTAATTAGCTTTAAAATATATGACTAGTAAATATAGTTTTACGTAATTATATATTACCTTAGATTTAGCCCACTGGAACAGTATTTTAAAAGATTTAAATCAATCAATTATTCAATTTTACATTTAATATATATTATTCATAATGTCAATTAAAATTTCTCTAATTAAATAATGTTTTAGTTTAAATGCGTTTTATTTTTCCATTTAGAATAGATATTACGTTAAACGTTGTCTGATTTTGCAAAAGACATTCGGTGATTTACATTCAATGAATTCTAATTTTAAATAATACATTCTGAAAAAAATATGTTTAAATTCTAAAATTTCCATGAAATTAAGATGAAACATAAAAATACATTTATAACAAAGATTTTTTAAAAGGAAAAGATGTTCAAATATTTGCATTCATTTGTGAATAATTGCTGAAAATTTCATTAAAATACAATTACTTGCTTTTTGCAAGAATTTCAACTTAACGTGACTGTCACCGCAAAAAAACGAGATTAAAATTGTCTCTACTAAAATTCATACATCCGCTTACGCAAATTTTGAATAGCATTTTCGAATGTTCAAAATGGAGTAAAAAATGTCATTAAATTTTCAAATATTTGGATTTTTCCTCTTAATAATAACGGTGATTTTTGTCGGTAAAAAAGTATTTTCAATGCGTTTGTAGTATGTTTTCATCATGGTATGCTAAATCTTTAGCGATATCCTAGAGGTACTTATATAAACTGATAATATTTGGAATACGGAGATGCTAATATCTCAAACTAAAGGATTTCACATCGACTGAATGAAAGTATTACATTTGTTTCCGTTTATTTATGTTAGCTTACTCTTCTGAAACCTAAGAGAAAAATTCGAAATACACTAACATGTTTTTTTTTATTTGTCGCCATTTCATTTAAGGAAATAACTAAAATTTATTAAATATCTTATGTTCTAAGAAGGTAAGTCATGTAGAAAAGTAATGCGGAAGGACGTATTCAAGTGACTAAATTTAAGACAACATAATCTATATGACTACATCAGAAATGATTGCAAGTAAGGGACATACGTTACATACCGTGTAACTCCTGGAAGTGGGTGATAGTGGTTGTCCACAACTTCCTATCTTTTAGCAGTTTATAATCCTTCGTCAATTTTCCCGCAATCAGTTCTGTCATGCTAGACAAAGCGTTGACTTCCCCTGTCCGTCTAGCTTCCGATATGTCCTCTGAGTGTCAAATTCTTCAACTTCTCATTACTCATTATACACCTAATTCATTTTAGTTGTCTCTGATTTATATTATGTGTACAGTTTCTTACCATTTTCCTTAAAACTTTATCAGTAGTTTACGCGCATTCTCCAGGGAATTCTCCTTATTCTTCTGTTGAATTAAGTTTGTTTTCTACCGTTTTCTCTTCATCGGTTTGGAAAGAAAGGGAATGCGAATTCAGATTCTGTGCGACCCTATATTTATTTCCCAGATATAAGTACTTCAGAGTAGAATGTTAAAAATCTACATTAAATCAAATTTGAATTATACTAATAAACAATATTTTACATTTAAATTGCACTAATTGTTTATAGTATAGTTTGATGATTTTAGATGCATTTAAAACAAAAATCATATCAGCGTTGGTTTATGAAGTGACAGATACGAATTTATAGCAGCGAATGTGGAATATATATATATATTAACATTGATGAAGTTCCAGAGAAAATTCTAACTGCAAGGGAGCTGACATTTACAATCAGAAAAAAATACAAATATTTGCGATATTTCACTGACGTTGAGAATATGGCACCCAGAGGCTATATTGCAGGCATGGGAAGGAGGGTCACACCAGGAGAACCAACATAGCCTGTTTGCATAAATAAGTAGCAAGACAAGGATTAACATCTTGCGAAGATCCAAAAGGTTACTTTATCACTTTGTCAAGCCCTGTCACGAGGTGAGAAATTTTGGTTCTACACAACTTCCTGTCCTTTGTAGCTCAGAACAAAATCTGTCTTTTTGCCATCTCTTCTCTTCGCTATTCTTCCAAACATTTACACAACTCTGTTAGGTAGGTTATTCGCTGCTTTCTTCTGTTCCTCTTGCACACATTACAGTATCAAAAGATTGGAAGTTGCGGAAAAGAATGGTCTCCAATCCCTGAAAAGGTCATGTCTCACAAAATAGTTCGGTTTGTTTCCGTTTATTTATTCTATAATTAAATAAGTAACTAGCGTATTTTACTACTTAAACGACGCAATCTTTTCTTATAATAATATAGCTATTAACCACTCTGCATCCTATAAATCGAAGGTCGAAGACGGGATTTGATTTCTCTTCAAATTCGTACATCCTATGCAGTTACCATTAATTTGGTACTTCCTCACAGTCTGAGATGAATTTATGATTAGTTAAATTTTCATGATGAAATATTATATCCAGTGGAAAAGTGGGCGTGCTATTAAGTAAAATGAAATCATTGATTTCGAATTTCTTCTTTTACATGTATCAGAGATTCTTATCAGCTGCGAGATATGGTAAACAATATTTTCATGATATGCATTAAAAATATTCAGTTGAATGTCATGTGCCATGCGTGATGCACGCTTAGGCGAACATGTATCTTTTGATACATGACGGACGTGGCAGATTTTTTTTCCCGCAGTAAGTTGCCATTTCTTTCTGCGGCATAAATATTTTAGCAGTATGTAGGAGGTATTACTGCCGCACACTGTACTCCTCAGATATTAGCCGCAGTAAGAATCTTGTATAATGTTTTCCTTCTGAATGATCTGCGTAAACGTCACTTAACGTAGCAGATCTCGCACAATGGAATCAGTCAGTTATGTGCCATCAGTGATACACGCTTAGGCGATCATGTAAGTTTCGATACATGACTGACGAGGCAGATTTTTCCCGCTGTAGGTTGCCATTTCTTTCTCTGGTAGAATCCAGTCTGTCCTGTTATTTACCCATAGCTGCGGGGTGAGGATGATTCACACCTTTCTCAAGAGTATTAGCACGTAAGTGAATATAATGGATTCGACTGGAATTAGAACGCTGCTCTCCGATTCCTCAATCCGAGCCGCTATACATTATTGCACCGTAGGTCTTAATCTACGGAACATGACAGATTCTGTCGAATATGGCTTTCATAAACGTATTGTTGATTTCATGATGAGCGAAACGCTACGATCGCGTATCATATCTAACAAATTTATGCAAGGAAATCATTATAGTAAAACAATATATACACGGTGTCCCATAATTAACTGTTTCAATGAAATATTTTTTTAAATGACACCATTTTATGTTTATTAATTATGATATAAAACATGCAGATTTTTAAATCTTAAGTCAAGTCTTCATTGAAATGTGTTAACATGTGCTCCGTCTGCATCACAATAAATTGCAAATCTATTTTGAATTATTTCGCAATGCTAAATGAATGCGTTCAGTTAACCTATTAGTATTTAGGGTATAAAACATGGTTTTTATGAAACACCATTCAGATATGTCCGGGGTGGTGGGTAAACAAAAATGCGTTCTTGTGTATTCATTAATAATAAGTTTCTGAAAGGGAATTAAAAAAAATTAGAACAAATATGGTAAAATTGTAAACAAAATTAGAAGTTTATACAATTATCAAACCGGAAATATATATATATATATATATATATATATTAATAAAATTGTTCGATTTCCCTGGAACAGTTCATTCTGGGACATCCTGTCTAAAGTACATAAAATAACCTGACTAACCGTCAACCTAAGTCAGTTATTATCATAGATATGATGGATGTTTTAATAATCCCTTTAAAATTCTGTTAAACAAATTGTGTTCCGAGAGGAAGATATTTTCACAAGAAATTTTATCTGAAGAAATTGGTGTCGGAGAGAAATGAAACGTTAAAATTGTAAAACATTAGCATTTGTGTAAATGCGTTCATATGTATATGGTTAAACAAGATAGCGATTTTGAGCTTGTTCTCCGTAGGAAGTTATTAAACACAAGAACTTTTGTTAAACGTAAGAAGCCATAAAGCAAATACTGTTCCAAATAAATAAGATGGCGACAGAAACTGAAGAATTGATTTCTGAATTAGTTTCAAACTCATAATAGTCGTTATATTTAATTTAATGTATTTTTAGAAAGCCCTGCCAAAAATATCCCATATTCTATCTTCCGGTCACTATTTATTTGATTCTTTCTATTTTATGAATGCAAAAATGTTCATTCCAATAAAGTATGAAAATATTACAGAGTATTTCTTACTTCATAATGCTAACACTGTACAGAGAAAATAAAATAAAATTCATTGCGAGATTGCAGGAAATAATTGAACATGCAGGAAATGTAATGTTCAATAAATCTAATATTAAGCTATTTAGAAACATTTTATTTTTACATAAATGAAAGAAAAAATATACGTTACGCGGTAAAAGAAATAAAAATAAATCTACTTAAACTAATTGTGTAAGTGATTGATTAACATATCGCTGAAAACGATTTAAAAACACAATAATTTCAGAATAATGAATTGGTTAGGAGGGGAATCATCATTCACTCATGAAAAAATTGAAATTGTGATAGACGCTATTTGTAATGGGTACGTTAATTTATCACTGAATCTTAATGTTTTTTCAATGAATCATTTTAGTTTCCGCATTAATTTTATTCATGATGCATTTTACATTTATGCTGGCATCTGGGACATGAGATCGATTTGTCTCCGGTAGAAAGTGTGAGAAGAATTTATATATTTCTATTGCTTGTTTTCAAGAATTCGACTTATATTAACTTAAATATCAGCTGGATCCGGTTTCACTAACATGAGGCATGAAATTGAAATTATGTTGTTGAACTATTTTATTAGCTATTTCTTTGTACTTACCATTTATTATTCCTATAATTAAATTATTATAGAGACTGATGCTTTTGTTGATTCCTTGCTGTAGTCATCACATGATTTCAGATTTTTGAAATATACGAAATATTCGTATCTATCATCTATCTATCTATCTATCTATATCTTTATCTATATCTATCTCTATCTATATCTATATCTATCTATATCTATATCTATCTATATCTATCTATATCTATATCTATATCTATATCTATCTATATCTATATCTATCTATATCTTTATCTATCTATATCTTTATCTATCTATCTATCCCATATCTATCTACCTATATCTATCTATCCCATATCTATCTATCCCATATCTATCTCTATCTATATCTATCTATCTCTATATCTATCTATCCCATATCTATCTCTATATCTATCTATCCCATATCTATCTCTATATCTATCTATCCCATATCTATCTCTATATCTATCTATCCCATATCTATCTCTATCTATATCTATCCCATATCTATCTCTATCTATATCTATATCTCTATATCTATATCTCTATATCTCTATCTATCTATCTCTATCTATCTATCTCTATCTATCTATCTCTATCTATCTATCTCTATATCTCCATCTATCTATCTCCATCTATATATCTCCATCTATATATCTCCATCTATATATCTCCATCTATCTATCTCCATCTATCTATCTCCATCTATCTATCTCCATCTATCTATCTCTATCTATATATCTCTATCTATATATCTCTATCTATATATCTCTATCTATATATCTCTATCTATATATCTCTATCTATATATCTCTATCTATATATCTCTATCTATAAATTTATACATTTCCAATATAAATTTTACCATGGAATGAGTAATGAAAATACATATCGTTACGAAAAGTGTAGTTTATATCTATTTTTTAAAAGTATTGTGTGGGATATACAAATATAATTATGGTAGAATCAATGAGAATTATCTCCATTCTCCGAATTGTTCCGATTACATTCAGTGTCTGTTTTTTTTTTTAGCCTATTTTGCATTTATTGCGTTTCCGCTGAGATTTTCTTCACTTATATACAAGCAATACCAGTTTAATAAAAAGAATAATTCCTCGATTGTCGTAATGCTAAGTTGACAAAAAGTAATAAATTATAAACCGCTTCTTAAGAACAACTAAATCTGTTGATACAAAACGTGGTACACAAATGAAGTAGTGGTTAGATTAAATATTTATTCGATATAATCATCTTCAGTCGCAACGATGGTTTCAATACGGGGCCGTAATAATTGTCAAACACGCATCATAGGGTTTGTATGTACCTGTCACATGACACGTGTAATGTTATCCTGAGTATGACGATACACTACACAAGGTCACTGATTTGAAATTTGGTAGATTTGGGAACGTGAGATATCTTTTTAACACACAGCTGTTGCCAGGTCAACCCTGACTTGGGATGGAAGCAGCTGTTAGGACCCCAGTAATGGGCAAATAATTGACACCTAAACACTATGACTGTATAAAATACATATTTGCAGCCAAAATAACAGTAATAAAATAAAAAAAAACTAATATATATATATATATATATATATATATAATAAAATTACCTACACAACATTTTTTATAGAAAAATGTTCAACAGTACATTTTAACTGTAACTGAACGCATACAATTGCGTTCAACATCTAATTAGTTGCAGTCATATAATTGTTTAGATTTCGACATTAAATAATATAGAGGGCATGATATGCAGCCAAACAAAATCAACCAACATGAAAGAACTTCTTCACATAATTAATCTATAAAATGTCCTACAATTTCTTAAAGAAATTCGACTGTATAACAAAATATAACTTTAAAAAAAACAACATAAAACGCGTATATCACCGAATCTAATAATTATGTCCACACAAACATGTATATAACAAAAAAAAAACATAACAAACAAAAAACTGTATCTTCTACTGTCTATTCAATTGTGAATGCAGAATAACATCATATTTCTATTACTTCAAAGCACCCAATTAAATGAATTTTCGTCATTAAATGACATAAGGGCTTGCTATGCTATAAAACACGCAAATGAATCAAATCAACTCGGGTAATGAAAAATTTAATGGAATCTTTCCCATTGGGCGACCGTTTATAGCACTCCCGTTCGACAATGCACCATACATGATAGTTAAGGGGGATTTACATCTAGGAAGAGAGAGGTGGCTATAATTTTGATGTGATGTGGCCGTACAGATCAAGCGTCGTCCGATCTTGGGTCACCAGATTTTTGTGTTCGGATGCAGAATTCTAATAAAAGATTATTGAAACACTCACCGCCTTCTCTCATGTACAAGCTTTATCCAAGGCTTTACAAATGTTTTCAAGAATCTGTGTTGTCAGTAGCAGTCGTCAGAAGACCCTGTTGAAAAGCGAGTGGTTGCATAAAGCGACCTTCTCTAATCACCCCACCTAAAGGCATTACAAAAGAGTAACCAAGGTGTGCATAAAATGCGGAACATGATACGGTTCCGCACATAAACGTCTGTTTCACCTTAGTTAATATGCCAGGGATAGAATACATAATCAGTGATTAATCAGTACGCTCAAACATTGCAAAGATAAATTGTAACTTCATGCTAGCACATTGATCGACGGCTATTCAAATAATGCCCGCTTGAATTCATAAGGGACAACCAGTAGTAGGGTTATCAGACATTTTTTAAAAGTGTCGTATGCCTACCCAGACGGATAATGAAGTCGCCGTCCTGCCAAATACACTATCGTGAGATTCGAACCCATGCCTCATATTTGGAAATGAAACAGTGTAACGATGCGGCTAAACAAATATATATGATAAAAATAGATGTAAATTAGGCTATATTTATGCGTAAATTGTTAAATTCCATGTATTGTTTATGTAAATTGATTCATATTCATCCTGTGCTTACACTAGTTGTCCATGGAAAACCAAACCGTCTTTTTACTTGTTTAGTATTCCACATTTATCTTATTATTGTCCCACCAATTTAGTTAGTTTCAATGGAGTTCTTGTTGACAGTTTACCATTCTATGCTGGCACGCAAGTACATACAAGTGTACTTTGAAGTCATCACACAGAGACGGTTGCAATCGTTTGCTTTGACTACAATGTCCTCTTTTATATTTACAAACAATCTATTCCTGATATTGAGCACTTTAACTAATATAATATACATTATATATATATATATATATATATATATATATATATATATATATATATATATAAATCTTTAATTTGAATGAAAAAAATACATTTAGAGAAAAATTAGAAATGCAAGTATAACAATGTTGATGGTGTCAGTCGACAAAATGCCAACCAATATTTCAAGTGTGAATATAAGATCAGAAAGTAGCACTTGCACTTTAAGTGGAAACTATAGAAATGTCTTCATGAGTAGTAGGTAGAGAGGCAGTCACTGAGACGTATATTTGGCTGTCGGCTCCCTGAGAGTGAGGCCTACGAGTCAAGTGCCAGAACCGCTCAGCACTTACCGTTATCAAGTGGATAAGAGGCAATACTAAAGTAGAGAACACGCTGAAGAAGCGACATAAACGAAGGAGTATATTTAAAAGAGAAGGAGAATTAGAAGAGGTGGAATACATAAGTATTTTTCTAAGTAATGTAAAGTGAAGGAAATGTATTTATAGTTTGAATTGTACAAATATACAGGTGAATTGTGCATAGATAACGGGATTTGTTTATTTTGCATCGGGTCAATTGGGTAAAACAAATATATTTTTTACTGAATTCTGAAGCTAAACAATTAACAATGCGTTATTTTAATCTTTTTTAAATATTTGTAGATGCAGTAGTTGTTTTCGATACATAAATTGGAATCGAGTCGAGTACAAATTCCAGCCTGGTTTCTTTTTTTTTTTTTTTTTTCTGAATAATTTCAGACCAAGCAAGGCGGCAATGCAATTAGTAAGAAGGGGGGGGGTACAAGGAATGGAACTGAGAAAAAAACTGAATAAAGGAAGGATGAGGAAAGGACAAAAGATGGATTGGATACAAGAAGACAGAATATGGCGATTGACGTTGCATTTAAATTTTTCAAGATTGTTATTATTAATGTAAAAGTAAGCGGAATGGAGTTCCACAAGCTAGATGTGCGAGAAAATACCTTTGGCAGTCTATTTCGGTTATGTTTATCACTTTAAACCGGAAACGGGTGGAACGTAGATGCCAATCTAGTAGGACACTTATATTCCAGGGAAAACAGCTCGTCAGAGCAGTTCCCTTGAAAATATCTGTAAAAAAGACCGAAGGAAAGTACATCACATTGGGGAGGAAGTGACTGAAGTTGAGGTGCCAAGTCAAGATCGATTACATTATAGATCATTCTTTAGATTATGTTAAGAACAACGACAAGAATAGCAGGTGCACCAGACAAGATGATGTCTTTTTGTTTTTTTTTTCTTTGTTTTTTTTTTGTTTTGCTTCACAGTATATCAACCTCAATGCGTTATTTAATGCCTACAATATTTATATTGCTGGTAAAATTTATTTTTTTCCCAAAAAGTATCTCTGATAATATTTTACCCAGAAATATATAGCTGGTGATATTTCGTTTTTCAAAAATGCATTGCTGGTATTAAAAATTTTTTGACATTTTGAGTCCAGTTTAGGTGTTAGTATTTGCTCATAGCTGGGATCCTAACGGGTATTACCAACCTGGGTCAGGGTGGACCTGGTGACAACAGCAATTAAGAGGCGGTTCCGTACTCCTTAACACCATCTGATCAGAAGCCTTGCTGTTCAATGCAATTTATTGTCTTGACCAGGACAGATATTGTAATATTATTCAATACACTGTTCAATGGTAGATTTGTAAAAAGCCAAGATAGAATCTCTCGAGTAAACTTTTCTGGCATGACAGTGACTCAATATTCTTGCAATACATGCAGATATTGATTTGATATAGAAGGTCCACAGTTTGTAATAATACCATAGGGAAAATAATACATTCACCCCTGCCACCGATACCCCTGATTTTTGTTTGTTTGTTTTTTAATCAGTTTCACCCCAAGCAATTCCGTAAAGCCACTAAGGCATAAAGGGATAGTGGGTGTGAAAGAATTAGAAAGAAAAAAAACTTGACTAAGAAGCGGGAACAAAAACACAAATTAGGAAGACAATAGATAGCGATTGACATTGCATTTAAATTTTTTGAATATTAATGTTGTGTAGAACGCATCGAGCTGGAAGGGAATTCCACAATCATGAAGTTTGAGAAAATAAAATGTTAGCGTAGAATTTAAGCATCTAATAAACTCAATTCTAAATTGATGGGAACACGATGCCAGTGTAGTAATGCAGTTAATTTTTAAAAAATCTAGGCACACTAATGAGATCATCTGAACAATTATCGTTAAAACATTTGTAGAAATTACAGAAACGCAACTTTCTCTCGGTGAGTATTTGACTGAAACCGAGCCGCCATATCAGGGCCGATATATCTCTAGATAAATAGCGAGAATACCGAACCGTATATCACAGCAATATTCTAAGCATGGACGAATGATAGACATATAGATATGTATGATAAATTCTGGAGACAAACATTGTCCCACATGAAATGGTTGGGGGTTAGAGTATACTAAGATATCTTGCCTTAGGTTGAATCCATTTAAGGAGAAAGAAACATTTCAAGTACAGTATAGAAAACAACACGTAAACCATAAAATAACTTTCTCCAAAAGACATCAATTTACTGTTAATGAAAGATAAAGGATTTACTGTATAACTCATGGTAGCACACACACACACACACACACACACGCATAAAACAT